ATTTTGCCAATAACTAGGCAGGGGCACACACAATTCTGTCTTTAGTTGTTGCTCATCATTGGCTGCTGGGATGACCAAGTGCTTGACTGGATATTGCTGTATTGACACTTCAGCTGTTCTCCTGTGAAAAATTGTGTTAAATCAAGGATGACACTTGATTCCCTGTAAATTTCAAGAGAAAATTCTGAAAAATACATGCTAATTTTTTTAACTTCTTGTAACAGATATAATATATTCTAAGGAAAGCTTTCTGCTGAGAATTCTTTCTTTGCTGCCTTGTAGTGCCTCTGAACGTAGGTGAAGCCTGCAACTATTGATATTCTATAAAGGTCATGCCTGTTCAATTTGTATTCTGCTGTTAGCCAGGCAAAACTGTTACCCAGTTCTCCTCTCCCTTACAAGTCTCCTGTGCCTCTTACATCTGTTTTTTTTTCTGGTGAATTCTCATTTTCCCCAGTGGAGTCTGGCATGTGGGATGTGCCAGCCAGTTCATGGGATGCCAAACATTTTCATTCTCGTCGTGTTGTCGTTGCTGTCAAAACACAAAGCTGGTGAAAAAGGAAGAGAAGCTTTTCAGTGCCTTGGTGCAGCTTTTCTCCCTGGCACTTTCCTTTAGGCTCACTGGTATATTTAGGGTGGTTCCTGCTCTATCCTGGAGCACCAGAGGCCAGCCTGCAGTCCCTGGCACGTGTCAGGCTGCTGTTGATTCTCCCAGTTTTGTGGTTATTTCCTCATAGTTTGATTACTTGACCTCACTGAGATAAAAATACAAACATGGCTAAGGGTAAAAGCCATATAAACATTCCCATTTGCTCTTAAAAAACAATTTTTTCAGTCATTTTGGGTTTGGAGTTCAGAATGTTATTTAAATGTTAATCACTTGAAGCTGTGCTTGGGCATATAATTCAATTATGGGACCATCTTAATTATGCAGATGGTGCTTATGAGCAGCTGATACAATTACAGAGCCAATTCAGTGCACATTCATTTCAAGGGCTTAGCTGAAACACGTTATTATTTCAATGTGTGTGGACAAATCCACTTTTTTCAGGAAATGGGTTCATGGAATTGTAATAGTGCACTGCTCAGCTCGTTGTTCCAATGGTGTGCAAACCACAAGGTTTTTAACCATTCTCCCTCAAACTGTGGTGGTCCAAGGCTTGTGAGAGGTTTCTTCATGTTTTTTACATATCCAGAGGGTTGAAAATGGAGACTTGAGTTAATAATCCATCATCCCTCTGGGTAGCAGGCGGTTTTATTTCTACTTGAATATTTAACCTCCTTTTGAATGGTGCCCCACATCTGGAGGCCGTGTGTAAATCTCATCCAATCAAGCTGATAACAAAATAGGAGAATTAGTGGAATTTACTTTCACCATGAATTGCTGCAAAAATAAATACTGGGTAATTCCTGCTAAAATAGAACTCCACTTTTAATGTTGTTCCTTCTCTTGGTGTAAGTCCAATAAAGGAACCTTTAGTATGTTTTATGGCCTGGTGCAGTGTTCAAGGAAGATTCTGCTCCCTGGAATATGCTTTTCTCATCTGCCTTTGTGTTAGTTTAAAAAACATCTTAAAACCACTTTTAACTCCATGTGAGGCCTGTCTTGTATACTTAATTAAAAATTAGATGCCATTAGTGGAGCTGGGATAATGAAGAAAGATTAAATAAAGGACTGAGATTTATAGAGGGGAATATTCATAGCGGATATTTTAAAAAACTGAGAGTTTTGAAAGGAATATGAACCTGAATGATTCTGGCCAAAAGTCATTATCACAGTAAGTAGGAGGGGAAAATGTTTAGGGATAATGTCTTCTGCTTCCTCAGTTTCTTTTCTCCCCCCAGTTTCTCACGGATTCAGAGCAGAAATAAGTCACTGATGCATCTCACCATCCACCTCCTATGGCCACACCTGTATTCTTGCTGAGCAGACTCTCTGTGATACACAACATAGGTGTTGTCACCTCAGAAAAGCTCTTTAGGACCTGAATTCCCCCTTCTAAACAGTCTGCACATGCACTTTTCTGCTCCAAATGACTCTGGTGCTTGAAGAAGAGCGTGTGCCTCTGTACTTGTGGCTGTACAATGAGATCAGTTGCTCTCATTTTCAGTGTTTGGCTCTAAATAAACATCACAGATTATATCATTATGAACATAGTCATCAAAAATTCATGCCAGGAACCTCGTCACATTGTAAATTCTATTTTCCAGCCTGGGGTTTATTCATTTTTTGTTGAAACCAATGGGAGAATGAATCTGGATCCAGTGTATTCACTGCAGTTGCAGGTCAGTTTTGCTCAGAGGGTTTTTTCAGAGGGATGGATCAGTAATGTAGACTTTGTGCCTGATCTTTGCACAGGAGGGAGCAGCATCTGCCCAGAGCAGCTCTGCTGTGCACTTCTGAGGCATCCCAAGAAGACATCCTGGTTACCCACATGTGGAAATACAATTGTAGTGCAGTTGTAAATTCTATTCTTGCTGAGACTGCTTTCATTTTTGCTTTATACCTGATTAAAAATACTGCTTGCAACACAAACCATTACTATAGTACTGGAAAACAATTAGCACCTAGGAAAATAAATGGAAGTACACACTTGTTTTCAGTTTTGTTCTGGGTCATTTCCCTCCTACTTACTGTGAGTTAGATGATGACTTTTGTCATGAGACAGGAGCAGCCAAACCAAGCAGGTGTGCATTCCCTGAAATGAGGGTGGCACCAGTGCAAAAGGACAGGGGATAGAAACCAAAGGATTTGCAATGCCTAAGAGCATGTCTAGGGATACTGTTCAAAATTCAGTACCTGGTTCTGCATCCTACTGCCTTGCTAGGCCATTCTTTATGGATGAGATTGTCTATGAGCTGGAAAGAGAAATGCATGATGTGTGAGATCCGAGAGGACGAGGTTGCTTTGCTTTGGTTTACAAATTCTGTCAGAAGCAGCAGGAGGAGATGGCATTTGCTGCTGGAGTGAAGGAGGAGGAGCTGTTCCTGTGGCCCAATGGGAAAATTACCCTTTTACTTTTGGGGAGCCAGCAGGAGTGTGGATTAGGTGTCATGGAAATACAGATTCCAGAGGGGTCATACTAGTGCTGCTTATGATTTCATGAAATTGTTTCAGCTATTAGTTCATGCAAAAATGTAACCTCATTTATCCATCATTGCCTTCTATGGGATTTTGTCTTAACTAATGTCAAACTTCATTTTCCACAACATATAAAGGAGGAAATTGGGGTAAATTGATACTGACTTTCCTGTAGGCTGGGAAGGGGAGTTTTCCTTTGGAGCCCTCTCATTCCAAAGCATTCCTGCTCTCCTGGAGCTCCCCATGCTGCCCAAGGCTGCCTGTGTGTCACAAACACTGTCACTTTTGGCTGCAGCAATGGCTCTGCCAAAACAACAGTGGGAGCAGAGAACTGTAATGAGCTTGTGATGTTCCAAAGGTTTCAGGAGTGTAAAGGCAGAGGAAGCATTTTCTGAATTACTTTTTGGAGAAAAGAAAAACATCACATGCCACTAGCAAGCTTGTATTTCTTCCTGAGTGGCTGTTCTCTTGTCTTTAGTGGTGTCTGTACAGTTTGTTGAGAATGGAAGCTCCCTGTGCTGCTGTTAGAGGTGTCCTTAAAATGATGCATTTCCTTGCTGAGAAATAGAGGATATATTTTCCTTTTTGCCTATTTGTCTTCTGTTCTGCATTAGTGTTCTGCCTCACAGAGAGCCACATTGATGCAATATTTAGTCCTTTAAATTCATTGACAAGGGAAGAATTTTGAGCTCAGAGAACTGAGTTAACATCATATACTGTTTGCAGTTTACCATTTTTCTCAGTAGTTCTTGGTAGTAGTCAAAAGATGTGGATTTTGGCTTTGCTAAGTAAATAGGTAATTTCCTGCCTATTTCCCTTCTAAGTGCAGGATACCACCTATGCAGATGACAGTGACAAATTAAGTGTTCTTGTGTTTGATTGTCTCAGCAGGAGATGCAGCTTGTTGTTGGGTTTGTATCTACTTATGACATGGGGCAGAACTCTGCATGGATGAGCTAAAAAACTTGCACAAGTACTGTCCAAGATTTTCTTGCTGAACTGATTAGTTCCACCAGCTGGTTGCTCTGTAGTTGTAAAATACATGGTTTTTTTAAAAATAGTGTTTAAATTGCCTTTGTGCTGCTTTTCCACAACTGCACAGGGCTCTGGTGTAACTGAAATTCATAGAACTGTGGGACAGTAGAGGCTGGAAGGGACCTTGAGTGATCACTTGGCAATAGTCTGGGGAACCCTTGCTTCAAGCAGAGCCACCTTATCAGGTCAGAGCAGGTTGCTCAGGGCTTTCTATGATGTCACTTTGAAAGCCTCCAAGGACAGGGACTGAGGACACAGCTCCTGGGGCAGCCTGGGCCCCTGCCTGGCTGTCCTTGGGTGTGAACTGGGTTTTCCTTTTCAAGGTTTAGCCCAGGCCTTACGCTTCCCTCTTTCTGTCTCTCAGGAGAAACATCTTTTTAATCTTCCCTTACCAAATTAACCCTATACTCCTTATCAAAAGATTTCAAACTCCCAAAATTTCAGTTAGACTTAAGACAGCTGCTGATAGAGAAAATTGAAAAATAATGGTTCTTCTCATTGTGGGCTGTGTGTGCATGGAGTAGCAAGGTGGGGAGCAATTTTTATTCCTGTGTATATTAAGCTGAAGGCTTCTTTAAATATTTGTGTAGAATTTTGAGTAAATTTGGACAAGGCTAAGCATACAACCCCCCAGCTTTTAAGTATTTTAAGATGGCTAGCACTGTTATATGTCTGTATGTTCCCCAGCTATGAGAGCACTCTTGTCCACTGTCAGTTTTTCACCTTTGAAATGTAACAGGCAAATGAAGCCTTTACATGTGGTTTAGCTTTGATGGCTAGGTTAATTTTTATTTTTTTTTTTTAGATTTAACCCTGCGGTCCAGTCTATCTTTATCTGATTATTACAAGATTAATGAATTCTAAACCTTTTCTCTGTTTCCAGGCTTCTCAATGCCAACAAGATCAACTGCCTGAGGGTAAACACGTTCCAAGGTCTGCATAATCTCAAACTGTTATCTCTTTATGACAACAAACTGCAGACCATCAGCAAGGGGCTCTTTGCACCTCTGCGATCGATCCAGACTCTGTGAGTATGCAGCCAGAGCACAAATGACAGCTCTCTCTTTCCCCACCTAAAATGTTGCCTGTCTTTTCATCTGACATTAAGACAATTTGGAAGAGACATCCATGTAGCAGCCCCTCCTTTCCTCAGTGAGAGAAAAGGAGCAAGAAGAAGGAGTGTTGCATCAGTTCAGTGAGGGCAGGATCGACACAGCCTGCCCTCAGTGACAGAAATGTCAGGGCTGTGTGAAGCTCAGGCTGTTTGTTGGGGAGATAATGTGTGCATTTGACTCTGGATAAGATATGAACAGCATTTTCTATTAGGATCATTGCCTAGCAGTTTTTAATGAGCCAATGAGTTGGCATCTCTCCTGCCTGGGTCTGAGTCCTGCTGTGCAGTTCGTGACTTCTGTAACCACATTTCAGCTGACATTCCACTTAAGGGGAATGATATGTTGTATTATTTGATCCATTAAGAAAATCCACTCAACAATTTTGAATTTGGAGGCATTAGAATAGGCACCAGAAGCAAAAATACAGAAATGATTCAATATTTTGTAGAAGAAGGTCTCATCCTAAAGCTGTGAGTAATAAGATAATAAGGTAAATAGTACTCCTTCAGAGCTGGAGTTGGCAGCCTGATATTCCAGTATTAAAATATCTATGAGTGTGTGTGTATATATATATATATACACACACATACTGCAGTATCTCTGCACACACACACTATAGTACTGCAATTTTTGTATGCAAATGCACATTTATATATTTTAATACTGGGAATGCATTGGCTGAATTAGTTGTAGAAATATTTTAAACGATATACAAATTAACTGACAGCAAGGATTTCTTGCAGCAGAGTTTCTGCCGTGTCCTCAGGCAGCCACAAACATAACCTGAATTTCCAACAGATATTTGGCCAGTATGTATTGCTGCAAACCATTAAGGCATTGGAATAATCATATTCAGCACCCCCAGTTCTCTCCCTGCAGCTCCACCATGCCTTCTGCTGCTGCAGCCTGTGTGTATGTGCACACATGAACTGGGGCCACAGAGAGGGCTCTTTCCCTGAGGTATGTAAGGATTGTCAGGTTAAACAATAGGCTTTTGTAGTGTTTTAATGTTTATGGCCTAAGGTGTGAACATCTCCTGTTGGTTTCCACAGGGTTCTGCTGGTAGCTCTTGCTTAGAATGGACTTGTTGCTTCACACCAAGAGACTTTGTCACAAAGTTTTGATTCATTTTCCCATTTTTAAGACTCCAAGTGATTGCCATCTTCTGTACTTTTCTAGAGCTGCAAAACCAGACCCAAATTCTGTCTCTATGTGATTCTTTGGACCTTTCACAGCAGGAATGGCTCTACTGCAACAGGAATCTTGAGTTTCTTCAGGCCCTTTCTGCTCTGTGGGCTCTCCCTTCCCAGTCCTGAACAGCCATTGCCCTGTTGCATTTTACACCTATTTTGTTCAGTGGCAGTTCATAAATATAACTGCAAACAGAAAAGAAGTTTCTACAAGTGGAAAACAGTAACAGAGGGAGAGAGTTCTTGTGAGGCTATAACTTTATACCTCTGTCCAAACCAAATTGAAACATCTGTCTTTTCTTAACCTGTCTTTGCAGTTATTGGAGAGCTGAGTCCTGCTCCCTTGGAGGTCAGAGGGACTGATGCAAGTTAGCTGAACTGAGATTAGAGCCTGGCTCTGGGAAAGACCTGGCACACTCTTCTGATACAGTGCTCAGCTTTGTCAAGCAAAATGAATCAGAACAGCAGCAGAAAAACACTTTCTCTCTGAGATGCTTCAGCAGATTTCTGTTACCAAAGTCTAAATGCCCAGCTAAAATCAATGCTATGATACCTATTTCCAATTTCATAGGAAACAAGTTAAGCAAATTTTGGTAAAGGATAAAGTGCAGTTGTACGTTGCCTAAACATTTCAGTCTTTAAATTAAAACCTTTTGCTTCAGGAAAAAATACATATGAAGGAAGTACTGTTAGAAATGATGAGTGTGTGCAAATATTAATTTCATTCTTGTGAAAAGATTCTGGACCACTTCTGCCTTTGCCCAAAGACCCAGGGTGCTTTACTAATTCACATTTTGAGCTTGCTGATCAAATTTCTTTTAAACCAGGATACAAAATGCCTTTGCCTTTGCCCAAAGATCCAAGGTGCTTTACTAATTCACATTTTGAGCTTGCTGATCAAATTTTTTGTAAACCAGGATACAAAATGATCTTCAGGTAAGGTGCATTTCTCTCAAGAAGCAAAACATCAAGCTCTCAGGAGAGACTGTGGGACCTGGGAGACAGCAGCAGGTCTTGTCCTTTAAAGGGAGATTTGCTGTCTTAATTTTTGTTTCCTCTGCAAGGAGGACTTGCTGAAGATGTGAGCGCTCACAGAATTCTCCCATTTGGGAGACAGCAGCAGGTCTGTGTCCCTTAAAGGGGGCTTTGCTGTCTTAATTTTTGTTTCCTTTGTGGAGGACTTGCTGCACTCACAGAATTCTCCCATTTGGGAGACAGCAGCAGGTCTGTGTCCCTTAAAGGGGTCTTTGCTGTCTTAATTTTTGTTTGCTCTGCAAGGAGGACTTGCTGCAGATGTGAGCGCTCGCGGAATTCTGCCATTCACGAGCGGCTCTGTGCAGCTTCCACTGGGCCTGGGGTTGTTTTTTTTTTCCAAGAGCCGATTCAATTACTCCACTCTTCAGCTTCGGTGGGGGGAAAAAAACCAAAAACAACAACAACAAAGAAAACAACAATGCAGGAGCAGGGTGTCCCAGGTCAGTGGTGATTAAACATGCCATCCTTCTCGCAGCCATTTAGCTCAGAACCCATTTGTGTGCGACTGCCATCTGAAGTGGCTGGCTGATTACCTGCAGGACAATCCCATCGAGACGAGCGGCGCGCGCTGCAGCAATCCCCGTCGCCTTGCCAACAAACGCATCAGCCAGATCAAGAGCAAGAAGTTCCGCTGCTCAGGTAATAATTCATTTATCCTGGCTCTGCTGCGCTCCCCGCGCGGGGAGGAGCGGGTCCAGAGAGCCCGCTAATCCAATCTGCCCCACAGTGTTTGCTGTAATGGATATTAGGGAGCAGCTTTGGAAATTGAATTTGGGCAAATTCGGTTAGTTCGACAGAAAGGCAATTACCTTATGGATTAAAAAAAAAAAAAGGGAAAGAAAAAAAAGCAGTCTATAGCTGTCTTCTCTTAAAAACAAAAAAAAAGATAAAAGCTTGTGACATATATTCGTAAAAAGATACTAAATTATGAAATATTTAAGCAAAACAATGACAATATATATGCATCTATATGGGAAATGTTATATTTTGACAGGATTGTCAGTTGTATTCAAGCAGAGCTCTTACTGACCTAATGAGAGCTGAGCTCAAGTTTAGTTCTCACATCTAAAAGGCTGGGAACAGTATGAGAGGTTTTTGTACAACTGGCAGTGAGCATTTCTGATCTGGGATGGGAGTGAATCTGGGGTGAGGGAATGACATCAATGCACATGCTTTCATGCATTCATTTTCCTTACATCCATAAGCAACACACACTAACTCCAGTAAAATTGCCATCAAAGTTGGTAAGATTTTTGGTTTCAGCAAGCTTTGAATCAAAAAGTGCATAATAATTTAGGCAAAGGTTTTGTGTTGAGAATGAAACAGAAAAATGTTTCCACCTGAAATTAACCTCCAAAGTAACATAAACAGCTTTTTCTTAATCCTATCTCTTCTTTATTTATGGTTCAGCTGTCAGTAAAAGAATATTTCTTGCCTTACACAGCACAACTAAGCAATGACTGCTTCTTCATGTGTTTTTCCTACTGGTTCTATTGGTGATATCTATTTTGGATTACTGCATTTTTGTATACTGTAAAGACAAGCAGGTTTCGGTAAGCAAATCTATTAGTGTGTACTGAGGAGAAAAATGACTGTTATTGATGGAGTACCTTGCGGTGTTTTCTATGAAAATTACTACGATTTTTCTTTTTTTCCTCTGAAAAGCAACATGATTAATTGTGTTCCTGGTGGTAAAAGATGAATGGCTGTAGATGGGGATGCAGCATGAAGCTGAGTGGCAGCAGCCCAAAACAAGCCGTTGTGCTTTGTGCATCACTGTGAGCAACACGCCGAGCTAAACCTTCCCTTTATGGGGGAAAGAAAATAAAGATAACTTCATTTGCAGTCAGCTTCTCTTGGGCAGGCTTGTTAAGGTCTTCAGTCCCTTGTGAGTCAAGCCACAACATTTATAATCAGGCCTGAAATTATGACATATTTTATCTAGGTTTTTTGGATTGTGTCCATCATAGTAACAATGCAATTAGCCAGTAATATTCATATTTAAATAAACTGGAAATGAAAATGCATAAATATAACTTAGTCAGGAAAGCAGCCTGCAGAAACAGATCTGTATAAACCTGTACCCAATTTGCCATTGTTATTTTCTTCTGCTTTTATTAATGGGCTAGAGGAATTAATGTTATGTGTGTGCATGCATGCTTTGAGCAAAGGTACAGGAGATTGGAGAAGGCAAACACCAGCTGACACCATTTAGGAGAGGTCACAGCTAAGAATTGCAGAACTCAGTACCTGGTGATGTTGAGAATAATATTTTGTGTGAGTTCTTATCTTGGGGGTCCTTTCCTTGAGGCATTAGGCTGTTTTTCCCTGGGTCTCCAGCTCTACATCTATATCAAAACCACATGGAAAAAGCATAAACCTGACTTATGAAGGAGGAGAGCAGGGATTGAGCAGCTTCAGAACAAAGATTTCAGCTGGATGAAAACTAATGCTGTTCAAAAGCTCAATAGAGAAGAGATCCTTGCCTGTAGAGTTTCCAGATGGTGATGAGATACATTGAACTCGACTTGCTGTCTGCTCACATGAGACAGGGAACATCTAATGGTTTAGAAAATCTTAGCTTGTAAATCAATCCAGGGAACAGACATCCTTGGCACCTGTTCTGCTCAACTTGTCCCTTTGAATCATGGCTGCTTCAAGCTTGGCATTTAGCAGGAATTTTCCATGTTTTCATTTTGAGGAATATGTTTCATCCCAGGATCTAACCCAGCACGTCTCTCTGCAGAAATGTCCATGAGGTATGAATCTTCTTTTAGAGCATTGGGCAGTGCTTTGTGTCATCCAGGGATGACACAATCCCACTGGGATGGCAAGGCTTAGTAACTTGTCAATGTCCTCACTGTCTTTGGAATTCTCTGTTCCAGTTTTTACATCTCCTGCTCAGTGTATGAGAAAACAATTTTTCATTTAAATTCTTTTGTAAATGTTCATTTCTTTCTCAAATGGTTCTTTTTTCAGGATCCTTCTATTTCATGTAGTTTATGTAATATATCTAGTACGTGTCAATGGTCAGAAAGTTGTTTTTTGAGGGGAAAACACAGGGAATGTGAGGGATTTTATCCTCACGCAGTCTTTGACATTTGAGAAGAGACAAGGATGCACAGAAAGTTTGGGCTCTGTGGGAGCAGAGCTACTCAGGCAGTGTCAGGATTGCACCCAGGAGTAGTTAAGCCTAGGAGAGCTTAATACTTTAAAATCAGGGAAAGGACAGTTTTTAAAGTCATAAAATTCTGAGGTTGTCCTGAAGTCTGTGTGTCCTCCACGTTCCTTTTGACAAGGGCACGTAGTGACAGGAAAGGGGGAATGGCTTTAAACTGTAAAATGGTTGATTTGGATTTGGGCTGTGGCTGCCCCTGGATCCCTGGCAGTGTCCCAGGCCAGGCTGGATGGGGCTTGGAGCAGCCTGGGACAGTGGAAGGTGTTCCTGCCCATGGCAGGGGGTGGGACTGGATGATCTTTAAGGTCCCTTCCAACCCAAACTATTCCATGATTCTGTGATCATAAAGGGAACTGTCAGAAAGGACCTTTTATGAGAAAGAAAAAATGTGACTGTTCAGTAAATTAAGGGAAGAAAGGGAAGTGCTTTTTCTCTAAGAACAGAAGAGAGGAGTGGTTAGCAGGAACAGGGGAGAAAAGCTGAGATGTTTGACGTTTCATCAGTCTGAAGTGGCAGAGGAGCATCAAGAAGGAAATGTCAAGAGGACACAGAAGCAGACGGGCTAAGTAGAACTGTATTTGATAATTAAATGAAACTGTGAAGACAGAGCTACAAAACTTCATTCTGCACACTCTTTCCTTCAGTTTTCATTGCAGGTCCCCACTATATAGGTTCAATAGCATCCTGCCTGAAGTACTCACTTTCTTTCCTCAATTGACCAGTTCTTTCAATTGAGGCACTTTTTGCAGATGCTATTTCCTCACAGAACCTAATGAGTCGAGCTTTTACTGATGACAATGGAGCAACATCTGCAAAGGTTATGAGTGGCCATAGGAAGGAGCTTCTGTGCAACAGGTAGATAATGTACATAATTCTTTTTAAAAGGAGAATTGGAAGCATTATAGCATGAAATGAAGGAACAGCAGGGAACAGGACATATTTTTGCCCAGGGCTGTGAGACAGGCAAAGCTTTTGAATATACCATCAAATATGTTTAAACTTCAGATTGCAATAGATAGTATTTTCTGTGATTTTTAGATTTCCATTTGATGCAGTGCACCACAATAATAACAAATCTCCCCCTTGCCCAACTGTGTCCCCACAGCTATACAATCTGAGACTAAAAAATCTGAGATGTTTTCTTGAAAGAAAAATCATAAGTACAGGCTGTGTCTAATTCTCCCTCTCTTCTGTTTAGAAAAGGGAAATACTGTCATTTTTAGTGGCAACAGTGAAATTCTGATGATCATTTTCTTTTTGGCTACATCTGCCCACTCTGACCACCTAAGGATCCAATGGTGCTTGGCAGCCTGAGGCCACTGGAGGCTCCCATTCTTAATGTGAATAAGGGGGAAAAAGATCAGCACAAATATCCTGCCCAGAAGCATTTGATTAAGTTCACTACAGAGCAGTTTTGTTTTCTAAGGCAGCACTGGGCTTTAGGAGTAAGGGAAATGAATCCATGAGCAGATTGTGTTGTCTCTGTGGTAGCTTATTGTCACTTCAAGACTTGGCAGGTTCCTTGATTGCTGTGTGACACTGTGTATGAAATAGCTTTTGGAAAGAATTGCCTTTGCATTCAGCTGTATATCTATTTCTCCCTGTGATATGTTTGCATTTTTCAGTATATTGTGCATTTCAAAAGCGATGAAAGTTCCACCTGCTGTACTGACACAAACTATCTCTGATAATGATCAAAGCAATGTGTTTCTACAAACATCACATCACAAAAGCTCTTTATCTTCTAATTCTTAGAAATAAGACTTTTATCAAGAAGATTGCTATTGGAAATACTCTGAAGTGAGCTGTCTCATTGCTTCCTCCTGCATACATTGTGTCTAACTGCCTTTAATTAGTTGCTTCAGTTCCAGACAGTGCTATACAATCAAAAGGACAGGGGAGAGCAGGAGGAGGAAAATGAACCATCTGCCAGCATTATTCTCTCCTTTTTGGACACTACTTCTTCTTAACCCAACCCAAAGCAAAGGCAGCCTTTTGGGGTACATTTGGGTCCAAAAATGGCATATTTAGGGCTAGTGTCATTTCTTTCATGTTATTCACAATTATTGCATGGCAATGTAGCTGCTTTTTGTTCACTCATAATTTTCAAAGCATTTGATGAAACCTCTTCTCACTAATTGCAGCTTTTCTCCTAATTCTTGATGTTCTTTTCCAGTCTCTGTCTTCACACACACACTCACCTTCCTCAGGTTACCTGTCTGCTTTGGAACAGACTTGCTGTTTCTTGTAATCACCTCAAATCTCCTCCTCTCTTCTCTGCATTGTTGCACATTTAGAAGCACAGAACTGCCATGGCTGGAGTCAGGGGAGCACAGGCTGCATGTCAGGACTCTTTGTCTGTGGCCATTCACACATTATTGTCCCTTGGACTCCTTGGGTTATCCCCTGCTCTGCTCCTAGTGATGTGTAAACACATTTAAGAGTTTTGAGCTCTCAAACT